AGGAGGCAGCCAGGTTTAGTGGCACTTCCTTCTGCTCCACCGGTTTTCCCCTGACTTTGGAAAAGTCATCATGTGGCGTTTTGTCAAGGGCCAGAACAGGAGATGGCCGCAGTGCCGTGACTTATTGCACATACACTTGAGTTATGATGTGCACAGCTGCGCTGCTCATGTGTAAATAATAACCCGCGAGGTGGATAATTACGGTGGCTGCTGGCGACACGGGCCTGTGCTTGTCGCGCGGGTTTTCTTGGACAGCTTCTTGGGCCCGTGATGGAGTACGCTGCCGATCTTCCACACAGGGACGACGAGCCAAGAGACTGGGAGAGCACCCGGCGTTGGAGGATTCGGGAACTTTTTTATTTTTGAGAAATGTGTTAGGGTTGATGTCACGTGATGCCACCGATGTTATAGGACAGGATCGCACTCCTTTGATTCTTCGTCTGTACCGTGAAGCTATGTCAGGCATGTCTTGAGTTGGAAGAGGGGTGTTCCGTGGCATTTTCCCAGAAAGTACTTAAGAGGTGTGGTCCCCACAGATAAGTTACCCACAAGGTTTAATTGTTTGAACAGACTTTCGTCAGTCCAGGAGAAGTTACTTAAAATTGTTTTTATTTAATGTCTTATTTATTTCTGAGAGAGAGAGAGAGAAAGAGACAGCATGAGCAGGGGAGGGTCAGAGAGAGAGGGAGACACAGAATCTGAAGCAGCTCCAGGCTCAGCTGTCAGCACAAAGTCCGACGCGGGGCTTGAACCCACGAACCGTGTGATGATGACCTGAGCTGAAGTCCGACGCTCAACCACCTGAACCACCCAGGCGCCCCAGGAGAAATTAGTTTAGACTAAATCAAGAGGGAAACAAATAGAAATTGTAACATACTTAAACTAAGGCCAGATGTCTTTGCTCAAGTCACATCAGATCCATTAATTTTTGTTCTTTATGTGCCCTAATTCCAGAATAGAGAATTCGCAGATTTCCTTAGGATGTAAATAAACACATACTTTCAGTCAGAATTAAATTTTAAGCTCACCAAACACCAAACTGAGTAGTGAGAAATGACTATAAAAGGCCCTAGTAATTATGTCTTCCATTTTCCTCTCATGCAATTTTGCGGAGCTGGGCCATTTTCTCTTTAGTTCTGAAAGAAGGGGAGAGGGAGAGAATAAGAGTGAATTAAGGTCTTGTCTAAACTAACTTCTTGAAAATGAAAAGGTGGCGGTGCCTCTCAGATGTCCCCGATAGCCTTACAGGTGTCCTGAGGAGGAGACTTTTGTGCTGCCTGGGTACACCCCTGATTTTATAGGGTTAGCAGGTTGGTCTTCGCCTGTGTGCACATAATCACTGCAACTTCATTATTGACACTCACACGATAAGGAGGGTTACTTCCTGGATGTCTGAGGCAGATACCGAATGTGGAATAAATCTGCACGTTTTGAGCCCCGCGTGTATGAAAAATGTGGATTTGCACCTTGTCGTAATTCATCGTTGAACCCACCTAGAGAAAATCAGATATGGTTGACACCCACTTATCTGGTGGAGAGAATTTAATCACACAGTCCACGACCAAGAGCCAAGAAGGAAAGAAGTGGAAGGATCTCCCACCTCTGACATGATTATTACAGCATCTCTCAAAATGGCCATGGAAAACGTGTGGGAGAAACCCTTAGGAGGAGGGTCAGGCTTTATGGATGCTTGACTTAAACACAGTGCCAGTGGGTCTATTTCTTTGATTGCTAAGAGCAGATGACGGTGTGCTGAGTCTGAAGTTGCTGGAGGCCAGCATGTTCACATGAGCATCGACCCCTAAAAGGAGAAGAGAATGAAGAGCCACCCTCATGTCTGGTGGCCAACCCCTTATCTGACCGGAATCTGACTCCTTGAGGCCTGTTTCAGAATTGAAAACTGGCAAATACTCACTGAATGTGTGTCAGACCTTCAAGCTGGTGAGAAAGATTATTGCAGTCAATTGTATGTTTGCAGAAGGATGAATTAGTTTTCATGGAAATGGTTATGTGAGGTTGGACAGTTTGGCTCTGCGGGATGACTGACCTATGTGGCACTCTGCTGAATGTGACGGGACGGGGCTACACTTTCAGACTTAGCACCCAGCTACCAAGATTTGCGCTATGAAAGAATAACTCCGGGGCGCCTGGGGGGCTCAGTCGGTTAAGCGTCCGACTTCGGCTCAGGTCATGGTCTCGCAGTTCGTGGGTTCGAGCCCCGCGTCGGGCTCTGTGCTGGCAGCTCAGAGCCTGGGGCCTGTTTCAGATTCTGTCTCCCTCTCTCTCTGCCCCCTTCCCAGCTCATGTTCTGTCTCTCTCTGTCTCAAAAATAAACTATAAAAAATTAAAAAAAAAAAAAAGAATAACTCCCACATCCTTCAGACTTAAGTCCTAAGTGGTGCACTTAAATGATTGATTTTTCAGGGTGCCTGGGTGGCTCACTGGGCTGAGTGTCTGACTCTTAATTTCGGCTCAGGTCATGATCCCAGGGTGGTGGGTTTGAGCCCTGAGTTGGGCTCCATGCTGAGCAAGGAGCCTGCTTATCATTCTCTTTCTCTCCCTCTGCCCCTCTGCCCCCTCCAGCTCGTGCATGCTTTCTCTCTTAATTAAAAAAATTATATATATATATATTGATTTTTCACGTGGAATTTATACAGTGTCTTATACTTTGTGCTATCACAGTGGCAGTGGCGGTGTTGCAAATCTGGGCTACTTTGGGTACCTCCTCGGTTTTGTCAACACTGCGTCAATAGTTTTTCACTCTTACTATTTTTTATCCCCCTCATAACTTTACTCCTAGATTCTCAAAGGAAGACAGCCAGGGCAAAGTTCAACACAAGGGAACTAAGATTTCATAATTTTTCTTAAAAGTTTATTATGGGGCGCCTGAGAGGCTCAGTCCGTTAAGCATCCGACTTCAGCTCAGGTCATGATCTCACGGTTCGTAGGTTTGAGCACCCCCCCCCCCCCCCCCCCCCCCCCCCCCCC